AGAGAAAAATAGGTTAAATACTCAAATGTAAAAGTAATTTTATATATATTATGGATTATAGATAGTGTGTATATACAATTTAGAAATAAGTCAAGATATAATTAAATGGCCTTTTAAATATCATATAATTTGACTGAACTGCAAGTCTTGCTCGGTTGTTGCTGTTATTTTGCTATTAAGTCGTGTTGCGCACATCTTGCTTCATATTTGGCGTCAATTTGGTCTCAAATTATGTGCAAGCTTTGCTTGATTTTTGCCAGCAAGTTGCTGTTATGTTTTGTCAACAAGCTTGAATATATTTTTGCTAGCAATTCTGCAACATTGCCAGACAAAACAAACTCTGCATCATATTTGATGTCTTTCTGCTAACAAAATTTGTAACAAGCATTTGGCAAAATCTGTTTCGACAGACTTGGTTATCTGAATTCATATTATACAAGTCAATATTTCACGCATTAAACACAAAACTGTTACTAGAACGATAATTTAAGTGTACTTGCAAACTTTGCAATGTTACCGCGACAATTGGACTATCATTGTACTAATTAAGAGAGAAAAGTGGTGGAAAAGAAACCAAACTTGTTTTAATGTATCATTAGGTTTTGTATCTGCTAAATGTAATTAATACATTAGAAACTTTTACGACTAAAGTTATCTACAACTTAACAGGAAATATTGAATAATGGTTCAATTACATATTGCCACGAAATCTGTAAAAGATTTTCAAAACTGTAAATTTTACTAATATCATATGACGAGTTTTTGATTAAAAGTGTAGATTTGCTAAAAAGTAACCGCAAATTTATCTGATGATAATAAAAGNAGATGTTTTAGGAACACACAAGCCTGATTGTCGTATACATTGTCTCTGATGTGTGGCGATCTATTTTCAAATATTTTTAATATCTCACCGCAAAAGCATCTACTATTAAATATGTGTATAATTTTTCAAAAGTATTGGCACAATTTTTAATTAGCAAAGATCATTTCAAGTATTTTTACTTTTACATGTATTAGAAAAATTATTGTTAAAGTAACTATAAAAAGACCTTTGCTTGAGTCGTCACTCAGTATTTAGTAAACCGATATTTAACAAAACTTTTCATAGATTAACCCTTGTTTTGTGACAACAAAACAGGGTACATTTGAGAAGAAAATATTTTGATTGTATTAAACATTAGTATTTTACACGTATGAGCAAGAGAGAGATTTTGCTCTTCTTTTTCTTTGAAGAAGAACCTAAAACTTAACTCAAACAAATATAATGATTTGGTCTCAAAAAGATTCAGCTTGGTACGTGTCTCGGCAGTAATGTGTTAAATTTGAGAACTTAGTACAAAATTTAACTTACGACGCGTTAAGTTCTAGCATTTTTTTCACTGTCATAGACCTGGTTCACACAAGATGTTTTGTAACGCGCGTTTGTCAACGTTGGGTTTTACTTTAGCTATCGAGCGTAATTCATTAAAAAATGTTACTAATTATAATAGTAATTCTACTTTTATTATTATTGATCTAAATATTACTATTATTACTAAAGACATTCGTTCTCTCAGCATTTTGCCACACCTCCATCTCGTTTTGTGAAAGTATCTCTTTAAATACTTGTCGTCTTCGTCTGTAAACATTATACACACCTTTTAGATGAAGTAGATATCATGTTTCTACGTATTTACAACTTTAATTGTTAACATATAGGCACTCAGAAAGAGACCCATAGAAGCAATAAACTAAGTATGAATTTACACACACACATAGTTATGTATTATTATTTATTATTATTTATTTAATAAGAGACATACGCTACCTTCGGTAAAAATAATAGACTGTGGCACCCATAATGAGCAGTAATATTATGGGAATGAGCCATATTTCATATGGTAGTGGACCTAGAACGTTCCCAATGCTTGTTGAATTTCTAATGGGGGGATTTTCATTTAACCTTCGAAATATTAACTTTCTTTCTGTTAAAAAAACTAGTATCTCATACGATTGATTACGTTGTAGTGGGCAATTCCTAGCATTTCCGTAAGTTTTGTTGTCACCAACTATGAAAGTATAATTGTTGCGAGCAATCTCATCTGTCTGAAATAATGAAACACAAACAATATGTATATATATATATATGTATGCATGAGTGAGTGTGTGTGTGTGTGTGTGCGGGCGCGCCACACACTTGTGTGTTTTAACTGCTTTAGACTTACATATATGCATTTACTTGTTTTTTATACGTAATTCTTATAATATTACTAATTGAAAGTAAAGAAAAGTATTTTATTTTATATGTATTTTTTTTACATATTTAAAAGGAAAAATGGGTTTGTATATACACGTACCGAGATCTTAGCAGCTTGCCAAGCGACATCATCGTTTTTTATACTTGCTTGTTTTTGTAAATTTTTAGGTACTTGTAAATATTTCTTGCATCGATTAGATCCTTTCACAATAATGTGCAAATCACTATCATACGTGTCATTAAGAACACGCGGTATATATACCATGATCGTAGAATTAAATTCGTCCGGTACGACGTGTAAAAAAACGTCATTGAATCTTGCGGTTGACGGTGTCTGTACATTTACATAATTAAATAAACTGGTCTCTTTTGTGATTGTCATAGATCGAATTAAGATTCGATACTCTGTCGATGGATATAAATGTAAACGCTTGGTATAATTACGTTTATATTTATCTACTCTATAAATATACTCTGTTTTTGCGGTTGATTGAGAAATGCGCTGTTTCAGATATGAAATACTTTCTTCTACGGTGATGAGAAAACATTGTAGATGACGACTTGTCTTCCAAGGATGATGCCATAGTAAATCGACTATACTGTTATTGAGTATTGTGTAATTAAAGAATGCAGGTTTCTCTGGTTCTGCAAGATATAGTTTGAATAAAATCTTTATAATGTAGAACAAAAACTCAAGTTGTTTGCTTATGTGTATTTTAGCAGTAAAAACAAACAAGAGCAAAGTATAGTACAAAATAAATAAGGACTATAAAAAAGTATTTTTGAGTACTTTTCTAGTGACACACGACATGTACGTACAAAAAAAATTATACTGAGCATAATGTCACATTAAAATAAAGACAAAAATTTTTAAAATATATATGTATACAAGGTGTTCTCAGAATTGTTATGACATCTCTCGTAGGCAGGTAAAAAGAATCGAAACTGAGTCAAAAAGTTTTGACCTATTTTTTTCTATTCATTATTTGTCTATTATTTATACTAAAGGAATAATTATTGAGTAGATCAGGCCGATCTTTAGCCAGGCGATGATTTTTAGCCACGCGCACGTCAGTGAACCGCGCGAAGCGCTCACACACACAGGCGCGTGCCTCACTGACGTGCGCCTGGCTAAAGATCGGCCTGATTTACTCAATAATTATTTCTTTAAGTATAAATAATAGAACAAAAATAGTTCAGCATTTTTTGACTCATTTTTACTCTTTCTGTTTGGTTACGAGAGATGTCACACCAATTCTGGAACACTTTGTATATATATATATAGAAATGCGCTTATATTTATACGTATTGTGTACGTTTGACTTTTTAAGTAGAATATAATTTATAAAAGTAATAATANAAAACTGAAAGTTATGCAAAAGTTTTAAAAAGTAACGACATGTACATGTCAAGTCTGTTACTTTTCACTTACTTGTAATATTAAACATTTCCTGAAATACATTAGCCGGTGATCTCGCATCTGTATCATTTTTTTTTATCTCCGAAACCTATAACATATTAGTTTAATTTGTGTAGTATTTTAATATGGCATACATTGTTTTGTTAATATATAGTTATTTAAAAGTATAATTTGTTTATTACTTTTTTAATATATAAATTCGTTTTCCACTGCACAATAAATATTTTGAATGTTTCTGTTCTTACCTGAATGTTGGAACATGGTTCATGAACTAGATATACTATTCTGCAGATATAATCTTGCCACAAATCACAGAAGGTATTTATATTCACTTTAACGGAATAGGCATATTGATTGCAATAAGTAGTAACGTTATAATAAGAATCATTATTTTTTAAGGTTAAAAGTGGACGTAACCATCTCAAGTGTAATATAAGTGGCACTGAACGAGTATCAATCTCAACAATTTCNAGATTTGCTATTGCAGGTGGAGCTATTGGATNGATGTTCTTTTTAATACACGGNTTTAAAAAATAGAATGTAGAAGTAATAAAATAAAAGTATGAAATATACCTGTGGNTGGNGTTNTGAAGTNNNNTTNTTGATAAACTGAGGAATTCTCTGTACTATTATATTCTCTTATTACATAAACAGTTGCTCGATATACCTCGTTACTAAGTAGTGGTGGATTCAGTATAGTTAAGTCAATAGACCAGCGCGATGTAAATTCAATTGCACTGAAATGTTTTACAGCTGTACTAACTCCTCTAATTTTTATTTTAGCGTTTAAGGGTCCCGAAATCGTCGAGCAATCTGTAGGTGGCTTCCATGATAATGTCCACTTGTGTGCTTTTAAATCTGTAAACACTTCTGTTGGTATGTCTACAAAGATGTTGATTATTAAAATTTTAACTCAAACACAGTGTTATACATACATATGTATTATTACTTTCCCACATAGCATCGTTAGTAGCACAAACGTTTCTGCAACAGGTTTTCCGAAACTTAGCAACGTTTCCTGAAACGTTTCTAAAACGTCCTAGTAACGTAGCGGAAAATTCGAAATGTCCGCTTTTTAAGTTTTGGTCCGATTTTGTTGAAACGTGTAAGAAACGTTGCCCGATAAGTTGCAAAGTTTTTAATGTTTATATTTTTATAAACATTATAAAATACATTTATGAAATCATGCATTTTTTGCTTGCTTAACCATTCTCCAGGAAGGAGTAATTATTTAAGTAATGGAGAATGGTTAACCAGGCAAAACCATGGTTGATGAATTGTATTTTACAATGTTTATAAAAATTATAACATTAAAAACTCTGCAACGTATCGGGCAACGTTTCTCATTCGTTTCAACAAAATCGGACCGAAACTTAAAAAGCGGACATTTCGACGTTTCCGCTACGTTACTACGACGTTTTAGAAACGTTTCACGAAACGTTGCTAAGTTTCGGAAAACCTGTTGCAGAAACGTTTGCGCTACTTACGATGCTATGTAAATTGTTATATATTAAAGTCAGTAATAAGTTTTTGTGAAAAGAAACAATATTTTATATGTACCAGATTTGTTTGTATTAAAAGTTATTTCTGCGCCATAACTGCTTTTCGGAGATTCATGTGCAGTCACTTTTACTGTGTAAGAAGCGTACGGATGTAAATCTGAGAATGTGATTACTGTTTCGGATGTAGTATAGGTTTTACTAGGTGCAACCGATGTGGTTTCATTTAAATCTTCACAGCCATAGTACACAGTAATCTAGGAAACATGATCATACACAATCATAAATTTATTAATAAAGTAATATTCTGAATAATATAATTAAAATACAAGTTTTTGTATACACGCATACAAAAATCAGCAGAAATATTTTTAGCTTAATAACGTCTAAAATCATTACTATTGATACTTTCTATAACATATATTACGTAAACTACAATTGAAACTATGTACATGCTACATCGTCTCGAATTGAATTTCAATACATATAAAAGATTTACGAATTTAAATAATCAATACTGTATTATTTAATTATAATATAATAAAATCATATCGCGTTTAAGAGACAATTAAAGTAATATCAAAAAAACAAAAGATGTTTTTATGTATGTCGACTTTTATAAACATGTAAACAAGTTACATAAAATTACCTTTAATGTTATTTCATACAGCACTACGTTTAAGTGATTTGGAGAGTTCCATTTTATAGTAACTTGTGTGCTCGAGTTTGCAACATATTGAATATCTAATTCTCTTGTTGCAGCTAATAATATTAATAAAATACAGATATTAGTAAAAAGTATTCATATAGTATATATTGCTACGCTCGCGGTAGCGGTTCTATTCCGTCGCCGATCTCCGCGATTCGCGCACACGTCAGCGGAAATGAGAGAACGTTTCTCTTAACAACACGTAATTACGCTAAAAATTATTACAAGAATTACAGGATCGTCTGTAACGCGTCATGACAGCCTCGCGTCCGCGATTCGTCTCTCTCCACAACAACCCTGTCGCCCGGCAACGAACAAACGCGCCGAGCGCACGCCGTTCACGCGGCTCACGCACTCGATGTCCGCCGCGTAACAATATATAATATGTTTTTAAGAATTTTTTTCAGTAATATAATTTTCAGTATAAAAACAATCTTACCGCTTCGTAAGGTACGAATATAAGTGAAAAACATGTAGCTACGTTTTATGGTTGTGTGAGCAAGTTGCGGATGAATTATAATCACATTGAAAGGACTATATGGCGGTAAATCTGACACTTCATGAGGAAAAGTGAGAACTGTTGAGTTACGAATATTCTCGCCTGTATTTCTATTATGGAGGGTTACAGAATACCAATGTGCTGGACACGGAAATAAGTGCTAGTATAGAAGAAAAAGAAATCAAGATGGTATATTAATTCAATACATACTACATTCAATACATACTACAGTGTATATAAAGTTACGTTAGAAGTTATGTTAAATAAATAGCAAACTATGTACATACATGTGAATTGTTTTGCCAATCAATACTTATGCTATTTTCCGTGGACAGTATGTTGAAAGTTTGTATCGCTGTATTATGACAAAAAATATATCATTATTATAAAAGTGAGTATATACTATAAAAAAAGAAAAATATAGAAAAATTTTTGCGTAAAACACGCGCACCACAATATTGCAGGCAAAGAAAACATAAATAAACTTTACAAACTATAAAGTTAATTTTTATGATAATATCTAGTACTAAAGTATGTATGTAAGAATAAAATATGTATGTATATACTTGTATCGAGCGTATTTGCATAAATTGACTCAAACGGAAAGAGTTAAACCGTTGACGATGTTTGTTATCGAGACAGCGGTCGTTTTGACAAGCAACAAATATATATTATTATTTGTGTGTGTGACTTTTAAGCAGCGTTCAAACCTTCTCTGTATATTGTTATGTACTTATTATTGTTTTCACTTGCGATCAACGGCTAACAAGCCGAGAAGAGAAGGGATTTTTCAAAAGACGAGTCGAAGGTTTCCTCGACGAA